TGAACTGCAAGTATACAGGTCACTTAGTAGTTTTGGGCAAATATCAGGTCGATCCCACAATGAGCAATTTAAACAAGTACCGGGCTCTTATTTTCTCTATTATTTAGACTTACCATGAATCTGAGCAAGAAGATTATAATGCTATTGTTTACCAATCTGGTTTAATAAATGCTAAATGCAAATGGAGAACTTTCACTCAAAATTGAATCTAGGGATGTAAATTCCACTTATGGCATAAACAACACAAATGAATAGATTTACCTCTTGTTACAATCCTTGTTTAACCAGGGATTCATTTCCAATATTACCAGATCTCATTCTCATGATGAAATGGCCTAGAGTAGTCTAGTTTTCCCTATTTTCATGGTGAAATACTAGTTCTACTCTGTTTTCCTTCATGAAATGTTAAGTAATCCACTTAAGTGTACCTCTATTTTTATGAACATACAACTTAAGCTCTACTTATGTGTTTCCATTGTTACTTCCAATTCTCATTGAATAATAACAACTATAAACATGCTATTGGTGATCAAACAATAACAAGTAATTACAACTGCACAAATAGACAAGTTAATACAAGATACAACAAGTGTAAATCACATTCAATTCATATCATTTAGCCATAGGTTTCATCTACTCCCTAGATAAGGAAATTTAGCTATTCATGAATGATATAACAATCAAACTCACAAGTTTATTAATGCAAAACATGATAAAGTACAAGTACAAGAAAGATAAAGAAAAGCTTAGCCAATTAATGGTGAAGCCTTCAAATTTCTGCTATGTCTTGTACAAGATGATTACAAGTGAAGTCTCCAAGTGCTTCTTCAAGAACTTATAGCTAGAGAGAAAACTTATTACAAGAGGAAAAACTCCCTACGTATGGTGATGTCTGGCTTCTCCTTGCTTCTCTGCATAAAAGGCGGTGGAAAGCACATTCTTTTCTCCTTCATGATTCCAACAACTAAGATTTTGTTAAAGAAAGTCAAAAGATATGTTTTGACTTGTCAATAACTCATTTTGTCTTCCCTTTTGTTGCAGAATCATGTGCCACAGAATTCTCTCACCCAAGATAGCTGCAAAGTTGTGTGAAAAGTGAGAAAAAACAGCTGTGCCACTTGCAGCAGAGAGATGAAGATCCGAGCCTTTGATCCGAGGGGTGCAGAACGATCCGAGCTCGGATCATTGATGATCCGAGGCCTTTTTCACATGGATCCGAGCTCGGATCATTTGACCTCGGATCCACTACTCCAGAAATACAGACGAAGGCTCGGATCATCCTTGGTACACACGGATCTGAGCTCGGATCCGTGCTGGTCAATTTCCAGTTTTTTCACTTCTTTTCTTTTTCTTCATTTTTACTCCTACTATCCTTGTACTTAATTCTTCAGATGATCCTTACATTTTTCTTCATCTCGTGCATGAATTCCATATATCAATCCTTCACAATTTCACAGAATTAACACGTTAATCCACTCATTTATCAAGTTTTGAACACTTAAACAATATTTAAGCAATTATCACCAAAAGAGTTCAAATATGACTTTAATCTTCTCAAAACATACCAAACTTGTACAAAATGTACGTTAAATATTCTCTTATCAAATTCCTCCACACTTGAATCATTGCTTGTCCTCAAGCAATTCACACATAACTTACTACAATGATTCAAGAAATAAAACAATATACGTATTTTTGTCAAATTTAATTCCTAAAAAACCTAGAAACCAATCATTATGCCATTGCTCAGATTACACTAAATACTCATAATATCAAGTTAAAGAAAGATAATTATACTTTAATTTTAACAACTTCAACTCAATCTCTCATCCTATCCCAATTTCACAAGTAAGTAAATTACATAGTCAATTTTATGGTCTTTCTCATCATATATCCATCAAAATTTTCATAACTAAGAGGGATTTATTTATACTTCTTTTTTACTTAAATAGTGACAATGTCTTTTTACGCGAAAATCGACACTTTTAGGTGAACATTTCTAGTTACTCAACATTTCACTTATTCAAATTGCTAAGCATACTCTTAATTCCAATACCTTTTTACGCGAATGTCAACATTTGTAAATGCCAACCCCTGGTTACTCGGTATGTGAATCATTGGAGTAGATTTTTTTATTTTTTATTTTTTTTATTAACAAAACTCACACTCAATATTCCCTCTGAGCATAATTAAAGGATGAATCTGGCTTTGTTTTGACTATATCAATCACTTACTTATAAAATTAAGTAAAAATGAGAAATATCATTAAACATGCAAAATTCTAAGCATAATTTTCCTCATTTAACTGAATATATTTTCTAAAATGTAAAAATCCTAATTGCATAATAATTAATTCCAAGCCATATAAGGACTAAACCTTCCCAAAATACATATAACATTTTATCCAATGGAAGAAATAGACACTTAAAATTGAATATTTTGGCCATTTATTGAAAAAATGCAATGAACTATTGGAAAATTTTTTAGAAAAATTTTGACAGACTTTCCCCATATAAATGGATAAAACTCTTTGCCAACAACCTCAATTTCAAGAAAATTAACCTCATGACAATATTTCCACATATGATTCCAACATTTCTAAGCCATAAACAACTAAAATCATGCACTTCACGACACAATCACCCATAAGATAAAGTAATTCCTCCCACACACTTAAAATTCACAATATCCTCATTGTGGAGGGAGGTAAAAGAAACTAGTACTCCCCTAGAAAGAAGTGGTGATGCAATTTGAAGCCACGAACCTCACGAACATCCAAATTCTATCCAAAATGAAACAAAGGGTACGAAGAAACATAAGTAGCACAAGATTATCCAAAGGAAAACTGCAAGGTTTAAACTGAACACAATAAAAGAAAAATAAATAAACAAAAGATTGCAAAAGTTCCAATCGGCAATAGATTTTCATGGCGGCTCAGAAGTAGGATCCACGGTCTCTTCAACTCCTTGAGAACCATGAGATGTACCAATATGTCCTTCTTCATGGTGCGGAGTCGGAGTAGGTGAACGGCGGATATTGAAATGATCCTCCATCACCCGTAGATGGTGATCATGCCTGTCTAATCGTTCCATCATCAGTCGCTCCGTCTGATCGATGCACTCCATGACCTTTGTCTCCATACAGCATATGGCATTGAGGACCTCTTGCCATTTTGATCTCGGAGGAGGTGGTGGTCGTGGAGTGGGAGGAGGTAGAGCCTGTTGTGCCTCCGTTTCTTGAGCTTCTTGTTTTGGCTCAGTGTGCGGTGAGGGCTGAGTTGAGGTCGAAGCTTCTCCAACGTCTCGAACTAACGAAGCTCCAAAATCAGTAGGGACACCCAAGGATTTGAGTATCGAGGCATTGACCTCCTCGGTAGCCCTAGTGACAATGGCTCGCTTGGCTCCAAGAGGAACCTCGAGCTTCTCAAAAATAAGGGAGCGAAGGCGAGGGAACCCAAAACAGGTTTCGCCAGCCCTCATGCAAGCTGTGGTCCTCATATAACTGATAATAATGCTTGCCAGAGGAATACCAGTCAGCTGTCGACCTACACCATTCATCATCTTATCCATGAAGTAGAGGTCACTATTGCGGAGCTCCCGTTTTCCACATCTTTTCGGTACCACATTGAAAGCGAAAATATAGAAAATAAGATGGTACCGAGGCTCAAAGGAATCCGCATCTAGTATGAGCTTCTTAGAACTTCCTCGCTCACGGTACCGACCCTCAAGACGTGACACAGCTTCTCCCACTTGCCATGGATCACGTGCTTTAAATTTCTTGGTCAATTTAACATCCACTCCTTCATCCTTGAGTTTGACAAATCAGGCTATTGTATCCCGGGTGATGGCCACTCTCTTGCCTCGAACCCAAGAGACAATTAAAATCCCACTGTGGCTCTGCTTGGCCTCCACATTAGCATAAAATTCTCGGACCAAGTTGGGGTAGTAATGCTTCGGCGATTTGAGTATATTTTCCCATCCAAGTCGCTTGAATACCATGGAGATCTTGTAGTGGTCATCCACCTCTGGTGCCAAGTGTTTCTCAATTATGATCTCCTTGTCTAAGCCGACTTCGTACCACTGTTGATTCTCGAGGTAGGTGAAACGAGTGGTGTCATAATCTGGAGCTAGCTCCTCATGGTTCGTAGCTGCTCTCTTACGCCGTAAGCGTGGCGGCAACTGTGGTGAAGGAGATTCTTCCACTGGTGACTCTTCAGGTATTGAAGGAGTACGCTCTTCACTTGAAGAAGGTGAAGGAGTACGAACACGAGATCATCTTGTACGAGCCATAGTACCTATATCAAAAACAAGATCAAACGCACATTAGAAGAATTCTAAATCCCTTGAAAATACACGACCAATAATGTTAAAAAGTGATTTGGAAAAATTTCGGCAGAGTTTCCCCTTGAAAAAGGACAAAACTCCCTGCCAACAATCACAATTACAAGCAAATAATCTTCTTAACACTTTCTCAAATTCACTTTTAACATTTAGAATTCATAGTTTCAAAAGAATATCACTACGCACATAATAAATCCAAACACTTGAGAGTTAAAGCCATTTACAAGAATGGAGTAACATCTCAAAGTAAAATGGACTATTAAGGACAATATGCTACAAAATCAACTTTTATACATCATAAAAAAGCAACAACTCCATATGCATTACTAAGAACCTCCCCATTTTTAGCACGTATCAATATCTAGCAATTTCTCGAAAGAAATATATACCAACTTGTTCTAATGAATGCATATTATCATCAATTGACACCAAAGTGATTTATACTTCTTAGAACAAATTAATATATTAAATGAAAGTAAGAAATCCAAGTCCAAATAACAAATAAGCGCAAACCTAATAATTGAGAAAAAATGTACAAAAAATATCACCAAATCCACGATTCTCTCAATACTATGCATGAAAATAATTGTAACAACACATATTAACACAATGTAGTACAATTATAGCAAGAATTTTCAACAAACATGTATTCCCCAAATATATAGAAAAATACAAAAAAATAAGAAATAGGAAATGTGAAATAACAAAGAAAGTTGAAATTTCTTACCTCAAATGTGAAGAGTGATGCTATGGGATGATAATGATGCCAAAAAGAGGGAGAAAACAACCCAAATTCGACCCGAAATTGAAGAATTTCAGTTGACCCCAAAGTCTCTTGAAGATGATTAAAATCCCTTTTGAATGTTGTTTTGATGCGAATTTGTTTAGGGTTAATAATCACAAGTGGTAGGGAGATGTTTTTATGGTTAAAAAATGGAAGTTTGGTGGGTAAATTAGGAGATTGGAGAAAGGAGGCTAGGGTTCGGTGAAGAGAAATAGGAAAAAGCTAGAAAATGGCAGAACCGAGGCTTCGGTTCTGCTATATCCGCGAACCGATCTGAGCACGGATCGATTCTAGCAGCCCTCGGATCCGACAGGGTTCGGATCTGCTACTTCAGATGTTCAGCCGAGCCCTTGGATCCGACTGAATTTTGTTGGATCCGAGCTTGGATTCCCCATTCTGAATTTTTCAAGAATACTTAATCCGAAGTCGGATCGTGTATACCAAAGCTCGGATCCTATAGGCTCGGATCCGGCCTTTTAGAAACACAGACGAGCCCTCAGATCCGAGCGAAAAACTTAGGATCCGAGGTCGGATCTTCTAATTTCGCCTTTGGTCCTCAACCGATCCGAGGTCGGATTCGTCTGGGTTTTGTCGGATCCAAGCTCGGATCAGCACATTTCTGCACTAATTGCAGAAACTGCAATTTTTCAAACTTTTTCTCCATTTTTAGGCCAATTCCAAATTACACATTGGATAAACTTTTTATCAAATCCAACCCCCACGCAAGTGTAATATACCATAAACAAAATATCCAACCTCTCAAAACACATCAAACACATCTACATTGCAAAACGAGGGGTGAGTTTCTTTGGTCATCTTTGCACTTTTACACCAAAATGGCACCTTTGGGCATGAAATGCACATCAAATGAGTCCATGAGCATTTATAAATATGTTATCACTAAAACTCACTTGAATATACTGGAAATGCAACATTGTATATATGAATGGGAATTCTAAACACTTAAAACATAATTTGGTAAGAAAACTTCCCTTTTTACGCTTGTTCTTCAAATGCAATGTTGAAACTCAGGTACCTCCTACAAACAAGTGAAATACATATAATTAGTTAATCAAATAACACCAAAATGTAAGAAACGGTGGAAAGTTGTGTGAAAAGTGAGAAAAAATGGTTGTGCCACTTGTAGCAGAGAGAGGCAGATCCGAGCCTTGGATCCGAGCTCGGATCATTGATGATCCGAGGCCTTTTTCACATGGATCCGAGCTCGGATCATTTGATCTCAGATCCACTACTCTAGAAGTACAGACGAAGGCTCGGATCATCCTTGGTACACACAGATCCGAGGTCGGATCCGTGCTGGTCAATTTCCAGTTTTTTCACTTCTTTTCTTTTTCTTCATTTTTACTTCTAGATCCTTGTACTTAATTCTCCAGATGATCCTTACATTTTTCTTCATGTCGTGCATGAATTCCATATATCAATCCTTCACAATTTCACAGAATTAACACGTTAATCCATTCATTTATCAAGTTTTGAACACTTAAACAATATTTAAGCAATTATCACCAAAAGAATTCAAATATGGCTTTAATCTTCTCAAAACATACCAAAAATTCATGCCAAACTTGTACAAAATGTACGTTAAATATTCTCTTATCATTAATCATGTTTGTAAAGTCAGTCTACAATTTGGAAAAACATGTTGGAGAAATTTCAATTCTATAATGGGTAGAAATTGTCTTTAAAAATATTTTTTGCGACCCTCATACAACTATAGCTTAAAAAAAATTTTACTTGCAGGTGAATCAAGTTGGGAATTTACAAAAGTGCATGCATTCATTTTCTGGGAGCGTTTGTAATTCTAACTTTATACTAGCACTCGAATTATACTTCAAGTTTGCATGAGCCAATAATTGAATGTGAAGTGTCAGTTGGCCCCAACTGTTCGTATCACATTTGTGAATTGTGACAATTAATAAATCCCGTGATGGTCAAAGCCAAATTCTCCAATTAATTCTGGTCACTTCAAAGTAGGTATTTTTACTTTTTACAAAGTTTAAATAGCAAAAATTTTGATCCACCATAGAAAATTAAGTTGAATATAATTAATCAATTCGAGATATAAAGATTAACGGAAACTTGAGCTGACTGAATATAGAGAAAGAGAGAGAGATGTAGCTTATTAACATAATATAAGAGGTAATAAGAAACCATTAGATTGAGAATTCTTTTCTGTATAGGTTAAGTTCATTCACTTAATTAAAGATGAAGTCTAAAGGCGGCTAAAGAATATATTATCTCAATAACTACTGTTAGGGAGAAACACATTGAAAGAACCCATCAAAGAACCTAATATATAAGTTAGAAATCCAACTCTGACCCAAAAGTTTAATCTATTAGGTTTTGGAACTTTATTTACATATTAACCTCTCGTTCTTCATCTTTCGAACCGATTTAGGATATAATTCTTTACTCGTAAACCTAATAAATCTCGAACCAATTTTAAATATAATCTTTTACTCATGAACCTAACAAATCTTCTCCTTCATGAGTAATCCCTTATATTGAACCCAAATTAACAAGCCCTTCTTAAGTCCACTTTAATATTCAATGCAACCCCACCTAATAGTTAAGGTCATATCTTCTTTCAATCATGGACCTACTCTTCTTTAACATCCAAACTGAATTCCGGACTTGACAACCCTTGGCTCTTTAGTCTAACACCAACACTTGGTCCAATACCAGCCAAGTCTAATATGTAAGTCAGAAACCCAACTTAGACTTGCCAACCCTTGGCTTTTTTGTCTAACACCAACCGGACCCTTGCTAAACCCATGGCACACGTGGTCACTTGGTCCAATACCAGCCAAGCCTAACATGTAAGTCAGAGAACCAACTCTGATCCAAAAACTTAAGTTATTAGGTCTCGGACCCTTACATATTAATCGATTTTTTTCATCTCTCGAACCAATGTGGGACATAATCTCTTTTGACCAATGTTTGGAAAATGTTGTGTGATGATGTAGAAAATGTTGGCACAGAGTTATTTGTAAAAATTCTTCATCCCTTTATCACTTTTGCATCTTTTGACCCTTACCTAGTTTATTTGCCATTTTATATTTTAGGTTTTAGTACTAATGGTTATCCAATGGAACTCATGAAATTTTGGAGATAAGCGGACAACGGTTTGTAACACTTCATGATACGTCAATCACTACATAGAGGAGTATTACCTTCTTTATCTTGATTTCTCTTTTACACATTGACGATAGTGTGCATGTTAAGCTGGGGGGGGAGGAGAATTGAGATTATATATATTGGTTGTAATTGACTTGTGGTGAAAAATGATTTGGACTTGTTTTGGAAATATTTCTTACACTTGAATATTGTCAATCTTGGGTTTGTTGGCAGGGAGTATAGTCTATTTACAAGGGAAAATTCTGCCAAAATTTTTTCAAAATCTTGTCTAAATTTGCAAAAATGCCCCAAAAATTTTTAAATTTTTTCAATTTTATTCAAGGGGTAACAAGTTCCATACCATTAGTAGACCAAATTTGTTCTACTTTTGAGATAAATATATGTGACTTAAAAACTTAACTTCTCATTTAACTTGAAAATGACTATTATGTGATTATAATTATTATAATTGTAGGAAAGTATATCCTATAAAGTGGAGAAAATCATGCCTAAATTGTGCAAATTTGATGAAATTTTTTCTCTTTATTTGATTTTATAAGTTAATTGATTAATATGGTCAATAAGTGAATGCTCTTCTCATGATTACGCTCTTGAGGCAATGTTGTTATCTTTGCTTTGAAAAAAAAGAGAAGAGAAAAAAAAAGAAGAATGAAAAAGAAAAGAGAATAAGACACAACAAGAAAATTGGTTTTTAGTGACAGCCATTTTCGTCAAAAAAATAAAAAGTCGTCACTGATAAATTTTATTGACAACTTTCTAGTCGTCACAGAGTCGTCACAAAAGGCCCGTCGGTAAAAGTACACGGTGACAACCTTAAAAGTCATCAGTAAATGGTACTATTTTGTGACAACTGGTGTCGTCAATAATTGTTGTAATTTTAGTGATGACACAATATCTTGTCAATGATGTACAAAGCAATATCGTCACTAAAACTAATCCATAGTGTCAACTAGTATAAACTAATTACTGACAACTTTTGTTGTCACTAAATACTTTTCAATTCCATAACAATAAGTGGTTGTCAATGGAGAAATCTGATTCAGTGACAACACTTTACCATCATGAAATTTGATGATTTTCCTGCTACAATTATATCTTAAAATGAAAAAAAAACGACAATGCTTTACAATTAACAAATGAAGGCATCCATTACATTACGAAATGCCAAAATATCATTTTAAGCTTTCAAATATCATAATCAAGTTCAACAACACCATACAAATAGTTGGATAAGTGGTATTTGACCTAAATTTCACACATAAGTCAAGGCAATTTTACAAAACAAATCCAAGTCCCCAAAAAAAATGTGTCGTTGAAACATATCTTGAGCATAAGATTTTCTCTATAGTTCTTGAGTCAATTAACAACTCTTGCTGCTGATCTTTCCAAAAATATAAAATAAGCAACATATCTGTAGTGAAGTACTTCAATTATTAGTAGGTGATAAGAAAAAGTTGAAACAAGAAAGAGAACTTAAGAATTTGCAAGAAAATAAGCAAAATCATTTCTTTTAAGTATCATCTAGACAGTGACTAAATAAGAGCAAAGTAAGAGATAAAGCACTAAGAACTTCCAACCAACAACTGGGTATAGATATAAAAATGAGATTGTACTAATCCAACCATATAAATTCAATAACTTCCCTAAAGTTTTGCAAACTTTTTTCAAGTAAATATCAAAGAGAACAAACCCAACATTGTTGACCATAGCACCCTCTCAAGCATCAAAATTGATGGAAGCTTCAGTGCGAGCAGCAAGGTAGCAACAAAAAACAATAGGATTCTAATCAAAGGTTAACCTTCAAAACTACTTTTCAATTTATCTAGTAATTGAAAAGCCAAACCTAAAACTGCTACTAAGGTTTAGCCAAATATGAAATTTTAATTGATACAAAGTTACAAACATTTCTTTGTCTCTGCTAAGGATGGCTTAGCACAGTATTGCTCCATTTGTTGTTTATTGAACCTCAATAATTATCACTAATTCTTTGGAACTGACCAATACATCTGATTTTTACCAGGGTGTTTTAAAGTATTGGAAATCAAGGGAAAAATTAAACAAATGGATTTTACTACTATTCGCTCAATAAAGATAGCCTTATCATCTTCGACCTGATCTTGGATTGCTTATATGACTTTTGCATCATTATGAATGTGGATCAACTATTGCAAAATATTTGAAGCTTGCTAATTCCAAAGCAACAAATCACAAACGAACCATTATTAATAGAAAAAAGACAGACTTGACATATTTGCACCAAAGTAAATGAAAGTTTAAAGTTAAAAATATTGGTTATTTTAGGTTCACTGATTTGAAGACTAGTTTTCAAAGCATTGCGTTAGATCAGAAGCCTACTCAATCTAACATGCACATTAATCAAGAAGAAAGTCAATTGATAGGAATATCTAAGTAACTTTTCTTTGAGACATACATTTAATATTGAATTTGAAAAAAATTCTGTTGGCTAACATACTTGACAAAACATAGAACTTTAGATTATACTGAAGAGACATGATAACAAGTATGTAATTCTCACACTCATTTCTGGATACTTAAAGTAACTTAGACAAGTGTGAAAACAAAGTTTGTCATTCAAACTCAAAATGAAAAGCAGCCCATATTCACCAGTTCTGAAAATAAATGAAGAGAGTAAATTATGTCCAAAACAGAACAATAGATTAATGGTGGCAAAATGTGCAACAACACATGAATGGTGGCAAAACAGAAGGCTATCTATTGATATGCGAATTGATCAGATTCAGAGAGAGATACATCCAGAGGCTATCACTAAAAAGGCTTTTACACATTTGGATAGCTCCTTATGTATTTTTGCATTACAATCTAAAACATATAGTACAACTGAAATCAATACTATTAGCTTAAAGAAAAGGTTTTGCAAGAAAAAAAGCTTAGCAGTATCAGTGCGAACCTTCAGCAGCTTGCAATGTGAGGAGGATGTAGCAGACAATAACCCTTCATTTTTTGGCTCTCATTCCCAACCAATGCACTTTTTGACTCAATTGAAGACAACCTATCTGAATCATTTCCAATCCTTTTACAGTTAAAAAAAAAATTCATCCATCAAAATGGAATACTAAAAACTTATAGCAGAGAGACAATAAAAATAGATATCAATGACTGGTTAAAAAAAAATGAAGGGGTTCTCTTATTATCGAAAGTTAGACCAATGCTAATCATTTCCAAACATATCAATGTTTTGGGAAAAAAAAAAACCAACAGCTAACCAATCTTTTGTATGTCAAAGAGCTGTAATTGTTTGATTATCAATAGACATAACATGAAGAAATTATGAGACCGTTTTTTGCATTGAAGCCTTTGTTAGTTACATCTATAATGTCCTTTTAGCTAAGCTTCTATCTATAGAGTGATAATCTGATACATTAATAGGTAAAATAAAATAAGCCTAGTGGTAAGAAGCACACAGGTTGTGCGGCATTTGCGTGACCTATATAAGAGGATAAATGAATCTTAATAAGTAATTGTTACGGAATCTATATGAACCTGCCACGCATGGGAGGATCACTTAGTACATGAAAGCATACAAATTGTTAAACGAAACATGCAAAATCTACCTCCACTACACTGCCATCGATATTAACTCGACATTGAAAATAGAGTTCAAAAAATGTTTACAACCTGTAGTATACTTATGCAAAAGCACTAAAATTGATGTTGAACCCATAGCCAAATATTTTAACGCAAAACAAGAAATCTTTTATGACTTCCAACAAGGGTGATTTACCATACATATAGATTGGAAGCGAAACAAGGTACAAAAATACTTAAAACCATGAAACTTTCCTTAAATTTCTGTAAAATTATTGTGTTTTTATGAATTTTGATGCATCACGTGGTTAAAAGAAATTACCTAAGCAACGCAAGAAAATAACCCAAAATTAATGAAATTGAAGTTCACCTCAGGAAATTTCCCTTCCTCTCCAAAAAAGGTACAAGAAAGACAGTAGCAGCTGCATAGACCCAGACAATGAAGAAACCCAAAATTATTTAAGGAAAATGATAAAGCTGAACGAAGAAAAAAGAAAGGCCAAAATTTTTACCTGAATGATAAAAGATCCGACTCCACCAGCACCACCCAGAACAAGAAGTGATTTACCAGTTGAAAGCGCTTTCAACTCTCCTGTACGCTATTCAACGGCAACAGGAAGGCTAGCAGCCTCAGCAAAACTCAAATTCTTGGGCTTTGAAGCAAGTACCTTCTCCTCCACTGTAGTGTACTCCGCCAGTGACCCACATCCCTTTGGCTTTGTCAATGTTTTCGAATACTTCATCCCCCACCTTGAATTCCTTAACCAAAAAAAATTTTGCAAAAAAAAAAAATTAGGGCAAATTTTGCAAAATTTTGCAGAAGGAGATGATTAAATCCATGACTCAAACTAGCCATCAAAAAAATTTTGTAAAAAAATATTTGGGGAAAAAATTTAGGTAAATTAATTGGGGAAAAAATTAGGGAAACAAGTAGAGACATGAGAGGACCTACCTGAGCATTGACCTTGTAGAACTGGAGGATGGCAAGCTTGACCTTCTTCTTCTTATGCTTGATCTTCTTGGGCTTGGTGTAGGTCTTCTTCTTGAGCTTCTTGACGCCACCACGGAGGCGGAGGATGAGGTGGAGGGTGGACTCCTTCTAGATGTTGTAGTCGACTAGGGTGCAACCATCCTCTAGCTATTTGTCGGCGAAGATGAGGCACTGATGGTCCAGGGGGATGCCCTCCTTGTCCTGGATTTTGGCCTTGACATTGTCGATGGTGAAGGTTGATGGTCTTCCCCGTCAAGGTTTTCATGAAGATCTGCATCTTTGATGACGGCGGCTGCTGCCTCCGTTGCTGCTAGGGTTTTGGAAAATGAATAAATGGGTTAAGAATAAAGGAGTTGACTGAGGGATGGAGAGTGTGAAGAGTACGGAAGACGCCTAGATGTGGGGAGTAAGAGTGGTACCTTTTCTTAGTGTATAGTACCCGCGCCACTTTTTTTCATTTTTAGTTTGAACAAATTTCTGGCTCTAGTCAATCAAGACAATCCAAGTCAATTTTTAGCTTCAATTTTTATTTAAATCTATTAATGTATTTCTAATCACTACTTCTTAACATATTTATTAAAAAATTATAATGGATGAAAAATTTATGCTAAATTCAAACAACTGGTAAATGTACTCTTTCTCAAGTTGTAATAGTTTATATAGTTGTTCTAACTAGAAATTTTCATTAATTTTTTCCAGTTAAAAACCTATTATTATTTGAGTAACTATGACTAGTTTAATAAATCACCAAATTTAAAAAAATTAAATTAATATTGAGGCTCACAATTAAATAATTGCATTGGAGATGTTCAAGTTAGTGATGACACTATGTTGTCACTAACTACACTATAGTTTTACTGACAAAAATCGATCGTCAATAAATATAAACAGTGACAATAATGAAAAGTTGTCAAAGAAAGAGGTAGAATTACTAACAACTTTTATCAAATTGTCACTATCGTAAAACTTGTGCCTTCCAAGTCCCATGGCGCAAAGTAGTTTTGTGACGACAATTAAGGTTCCTCACTGAAAACTTAGTTGCTTTGAGTCAATTGTGACAATCTTCAATGGCGCCCCTAAACAACCTCATTTTGTGATGACTTTTTGTCATCACTAGGAAATGTTGTCACTAATGACCTTTTTTCTTGTAGCGGTTGTTCTATTCCAATGGTTCTTGTACTTAGTAACCAGGAGTCTTCATCTAAAAATATCGACTTTTGTGTAAAACGGTACTTGAATTAAGAGTAGGCAAGGCAACTTGAGGATATGAAGTGTTGAGTAACCGGCGATTTTCATCTAAAAATATCGATCTTCACATCAAAAGGTACTTTCACAATTTGAGTAATATTTAGTTATAATATATGAATAAATCCCTCTTTAAATATGAATAAGAAGATGATCATGGGTTTAGGAAGCATTTTATTGACCATATGAGTTGCTTGTAAAATGGGGTAAGAATGAGAAATTGAGTTAAACTAGTTAAAATAATGGCATAATTGACTCTCCTTTACTTGATATTATGAGTACTTAAGCTTAGTTGAGTGATTGCATAATGGTTATTTACCTTGTTTTGAGAAAATGAAATTGAATTGTGCACATATGTTTATTTTCAAAATTTTGAATCATTGTTGGTTAGTATTTCTTAATTGCCCGAGGACAAGCAATGATTCAATTGTGGGAGAGTTTCACAAGTGTATATTTTACATGTTTTAAGTGTATTTTATTAATTAGTTTTGGTGTGTTTTAACTACTTTTATAGCTAATTAGTTATCATTCTAGTGAAAATATGCATTTTATGTTTTAAGTGGTAAAAATTACATTTCTTTGGATTTTAATGGTGAAAACTTTATATTTTTGTAGGTTTAAGGATTCACTCATCAAATGGCATGAATTGAGAAGATAATTGAATGATTGATGATGGTTTGAAGTGATAAAAAAAAAGACATGAAGTGCAAAATGTTCAAAGGATGAAATACAAGTTTTCCAGCTTTAACACCTTGTGATATTTTGGCTATATCTTGAGCTACAAGCATTGGATTGAGGTGATTCTTGAACTATTTTGAAGCTAAGAGACACACTGAAGTCCAGTTCAGTCGTTTTCCTTGTCAAAAAGTCAAAATACAGAAGTATAACTCTGTTGTCAAAAGCTGAAACAGAGTTCCGACCAGTCAAAGGTTGTTTGGTCATTTCTCGGTCCACAGAGCTCCAAATTAGATGATTCTTGATGCATTGGAAAGCTAACTCAAAGGGTTACAACTTTTATGCTATGTACAAGAGCTAGTTCAGCCTCTAACATCAAGAACGTTTCAGTTGAAATTGAACCAAAAACAGAGCAAGGATGAATTCTGCCCAGAAAGTGCAAACCTGCAAAGGAGAAAACGCGAGGTGCAATACGCGACCTGAGGTCGCGTATTCATCATTTTCAATCTGCAACTTGTTCTTTGTTCACACAACTTTTCAACTCAATTCCAGCAAGTAATTTCGGCCGTATCTGACCAAGAAGAGTGTGAAAACTTGGAGAAACAACTCATGGGAGTTTCAAGAGTAAAAAATGACAACTAGAGACAACTCATTTGGCTCTTGAATTCCTATATAAAGAGCAGCTTTGGAGGGCATTTACCAACTTTAGAAGCCTAGAGAAACTTCACAAAAATGTAGTTTTTACTAGAATTTCCTTAGTTCATTAGTTAGGGTAGTATAATATAGTTAGTATAGCTTTTCCTTCTTATATTTGTAGTTAAATTTGGATGAAAAATTGAAGAGCAAAGATGGAGAGTTAGTGCTTATGTAACAAAGGTGACTTCTCTCCTATCACTTTCTCTCTTGTATTTGATTTCATGTTTAACTATAATACAAGTTTGGATCTTGTTTTTCATGTTTAGCTAAAGCTTATGCCTAGAATTATGGATGAACTTTCTATATCTTGCTAGTGATGTTTACTTGATTATTTGATGATATTATTTTGAACAATTTATTTATCATTTTTACTTTTCTAGTCATGATTAACCGGCCATTAATTATGATAATCTTAAGTTGTTACATTTGCAATGAGAATTTAAATTTAACACTAGTTAAAGGAAATGATAAACCTAGAGATTTCACTCGCAAGAGTAGAGGTGCACCTATGTGGCTTTAGTGACTTGTTTCATGTAATTTCATAGAAGAAATGAACTTATAGTTGATTTCATAACCACGAGAACAGATATGACTTAGCTACAAGTATAGTTAATTTACTACGAGAGTAAATTTCACATACATTAGGAAATTACACCATAACTAGCCAAGATAATAACATTCACTTAACTAGTAACTTCATTTGCAAGAGTAGTAAGGAATTCCATACCTCTGGGAGTTTTCTAGTGTTATTTTTATTACTTTTACTTCATGTTTATAGTGTAAAGTTAATTTCTTGCACTTGTGATAGTCTAAATAATAAAGAAGTTCGAAAATCACCGATAATTGAAAATTTTCCATGTGGGTTCGACACTTAATACCCTATACTCACTCTCGACTCGTATACTTGTGAAAAATCACGTGTGGGATATTTAGGATGTTATAAAGGTAAAACTTGACTGTAGATGAGCTAATTGTTATATGTATACCATGCGCTCTTCAGTAGGCATTGCTTATTTGTATGGAATACTAGATAATAATATCTTTATGAAAAATCCTGAAGGATTTACCACCCGTTTGGTAGCTATTAATGAATGACAATGACAATCACTATGGAAGACCCCCTCAATGATAATGAATTTGTCAAGATTCCTTTTGATGAAATCTTGTGTTTGGTAGTTACCATAATGACAATGACTTTTCTTAGTAGAAAAAAAAAAAGAAAATTGTTATCCTTTCTTTGCTCCTTTCTCTTCATCTCCAGCGGCTCCCACCATCACCTCCCGGCTTCTCCTTCCACCATTTTTTTTTTTGCTTCCTTTCCCTTGATTTCTTGGATGTTGCTAACCGATCTCCCATGATTGTTGTCCTTTTGTTGTACCTTTTCTTTCTTCTTTTTTTTTTTCCTTTTTTTGTTTGCTTTCAGTTTTGGTGGTTCTCTTCATCCCTTTGCCACTGCCACCACCGCACAACCACCTCTCACTGCCTCCACCATAATCCCAGTTTTACACACCATTTCAACAAATTTTAATTTCAAAATTCTTACTAAAAATAAAAAAAATTCTCCTCACACCAAGATTTTTTTTGTGCGAGAAAAAAGGAGGAAAAATTCCATGGGACAAAGAGGGAGAAAAAGAAGAGAGAAATTGGGATGAAACAAAAAGGGGGAGGTGAGGAGGTAGGAGAGTTGGAGGAAAGATGTGAGCGGGTGGAGATTAGATGTGTCGGCTATTGTTCTTTTCCTTAGCTATTTTTTGGTTTGTTTTTGTTTTATTTTTTTGTCTTGATTGGTAATGGGAGTGAAAGTGCCCAATTTAGTGGGTAAGGAGTTTTGGATAATGGAAGATCCAAAAGTGGGTAATGAAAAAGCCCAAAGTGGTGTACCAAACACCATCCATGACAATCATTACCCTCTCATTCCCATTAAGGGGTGCAAAACCCCTCAACCAAATGGGCTATTAGTTTCAGGCCTGAAGCATATAGATCAAATCCTAGAGAAATTTATTCCATTAAATTATATAGGTCTTTATATGGGTTCAACCAATCTAAACTTATGTAATATAATTGATTTAGTGAATGTTTACTTAAGAAAGGTTATACAAATGATCCAATATGTCCATATATTTTCATAAAGGGATATAGGTCAAATTTTGAAATTATTGCTACAAATGTTGATGATTTTAATTTAATTGAAACTCCTGAAGAGCTCCAAAAAGTAGTTGAATATTTGAAGAATGAATTTGAGATCGAAGATTTTGTCTTGATTTACAAATTAAACATTTAAAAAATAGGATTTTTGTCCACCAAACTGTTTATACCAAAAAAGTATTGAAGTGGTTTTATATGGATCCATTAAGTACTTGAATGATCGTTCAATCATTTGATCCTATTAAAGATCCTTTTAGACCAAGAGAGGAAAATGAAGAGATTCTTAGTCCTGCGTACCATATCTTAGTGTAACTGATGCACCAATCTATCTTGCTAATTGTATAAGACCAAATATATTATTTGCTATGAATATGTAAGCAAGACTTAACTCCTCTGCTACAAAATGACATTGAAATGATGTATAGCACATTTTTCACTGTCTCCAAAGAACAATTGATCTTGACTTATTTTATTCATATAATTATCGAATCGAATTATTTGGTTACATCAATGTCGGATATTTATTTGACCTACATAAAGCAAAGT